TTTCAAGATACTTTACAAATATAATCTTAGCAGTTTTATCAGGTTAGAAAAACAAATATTCAAGGGATATATTAATTTGATCATATTTAATCTTGAGAAATTAGAAGCTCTAATTATCAATACAAATTTAATGAGAAAGTAGGCCAAAGTCCCTATTTAAGGGAAATAAATTATGTAGTCTAGAAAAAGAATTTGAACCATGAAAATAAAAATAAAAGTATGCATGTCCAAATCTTTCTGTCATGTCTATAAAACTCACTTAAGAAATGACCTGAAAAAAAAAAAAAAAAAAGAAATGACCTGAAATTAATTAGCGTTTTCTATTATTTTAGAAAGGTAATCTCCTTATCTTGGAAAAAATCCATTTAATAAATATTATGAAACAAAGTTTATGCTATCTTTGTTCATAAGCATTTCGGACATAGCTTTTTTTTTTTTAAGATAGATTAAGTAATAGTTCAAAGCTTTAGTTAATGTAAGTTGAAATGCAGTTCTCATGTAGGTAAAAAGGTTAAGATTATGTGATTTTTATTTCCTATGGCAACATGAAACAACTCATAATTCATAGATACTGAATACAGAAATGACATTACCCAATTCATACAGCTCTAATTATAACTTGGTGAAATTTAGAGCCAGTTTAACAGAATGGAGGGGGGGAACCTCCAATCTATTAATATTAGGCTGGATTAGCTAGCTGGATAAGTTTTGCCTACATGGGTTTGTTCTTTTCTACCTCTTCAGGACACCCTAGAGAAATTAAAGGCTCGTAAGGTAGGCCAACTATTCTGAATTTCTTCCCCGTTGTCTATGGCTCAGAGCATACTCGAATGAAAATAAAGAAGCAGTTATTTAGAGTCTATGGTGCAACAAACTCTGTCCTTGTTTGTGAAACTAAATGTGCATGAAATAGATATCATTTCCATTTACAGGTAAGAAAACCTAGGCTCCCAGAGATTAAGTACCTGCCTAAAAGCCCACAGATTTGGATTTGGAATACAGTTTTCCCTGACTACAAATCCTACATAATTTCCTCTCCTGAATACAATACTGTAGTCCTACTGATTTTAGTCACTTTTCAACTTTATAAAGAGTCCTACAGGGATTGAATCACTTTTGATATTGACCCTAATTCAGTGATTCATGTGGAGTGTGTCACCACTGGGATGTTTATGATTGGAAATATCTCAGACAAACATCACAGTGCTGATTCTCAGGACTGGGGACAATATGATGGTGCTTTATATACAGTTCAACCAATCTTGCATCCACATTATTTAATAGTTAACTGTTATTTCTGTTGCATTTTGTAAAAGACTATATTGGCTTGCTAAACAGCACTCCCCCAAATCCTAATATTAGAGTCTTGTAGTAGGTGGAGACTTTTTTCTGCCATGTAGACTGGTGCTTAAATTCCAAAAATGCACAGAGCTGTGACAAATGCACAGAGCACAATGACTTTACTATTTTCAACCATATTCTGAGAGAAGGAAGTATGTTTTTATGTTTAGTAGCTGTGTTATCCTTCAAACAAAAAAGCAAAATGATTGCTTTAGTGTCAACAGAATAAGTAGTTGTTTAATAAGTATTTGTACTGAGCCATCCATGGTGGCTTTTCCCTCCTTGATGCCAATGAGAAAACATTTGCTAGTTTTTTCTCTCACCCAAGAATAATTTAAATCAGTTGATACCTCCTTCCACCTCTCTTTTACTTGACTTCATCTTATTATAGGTGACTAAGTAATTACCTTCAAGCATCTATGTAAACAGAACTGAAGAAGCATACACTTACAGATCCAGATCTACATACACACACATACATTTGTACATTCATAATAGTATGCACACATACATAACATGGAATTCAATCTTGAGGGATTAAGTATAATTATAATGATAATAAAGAATTTATAGCATGCAATCCAGTAAAGTCTTAAATGTACAACTTAAAAATTACTGCACTAAAATTTCTGCTTCCAGGTAGGATGAAGTGAGCAGGTTAAGAGAACACATAGAAAATCTAGATCAAATATAACAAATAAACAATAGAAAGGAATCAGAGAACTGCTGAAACAACAGATCTAAAATGGTCTAAGAATCTGAAGAGGAAAGAATCCTGGAGAGGTAAGGGAGGAATGTTGTAGATGATTTTTGTTGATTCTGGGCTGTGGAAAGAATCCAGACTTGGCCTGGGAAGAAGGCCATCACTGGGGTTGAGAGAAACCAGCAGACTGTTGCAGAGTCTTGAGGGACCGACAAAGCTCTAACACATGCCAATCATTCCATGACGACATCTGTCAAATTCAGAAGATGCAAGGTCTGGAGGCAAAAAACTAAGCTAAAACCCCTGAAAAGCACCACAGATTTCTGGTAGTCTTGCATTACTGAGAAGAAAAATATTTTTAAAATATTGGTGTTCAAGACCTGCCCAGGGGCAGGCTCCACATGGATACACCAGGCCAGGGTTCATCCTCGGACCGAGTCCAGCCTGCCCCTATGTTTTGTATGGTCCAAGAGCTAAGAACAGTTTATATAATTTTAAATGATTGAGAAAAAAAATCAAAAGAAGAATAATATTTTAATTCATGAAACTCAAATTTCTGTGTCTACGAGCAATGTTTTATTGAAATATATCTATACCCTTTATTTATATATTGACTTTGGTCACTTTTGTACAACAATGAGTAGTTGCAAAGAAACTGGGTGACCAAAGCCTAAAGTATTTACCACCTGACCCTTTATGGAAAATATTTGCTGACCTACAATAGGCTATTAGTTGAAACTCTGGGTGGGCAAACACCCTAAGAACAAAAGCAAACCAGAGGTAGACTGGGTCTCACCAAAGCTCAACCCAACCTCATGTTGGCTCAGCTGTGATTGGATTAAGGTAATTAGCCTCCAATCTGTCTCCGTGGTGGAAGAAGGATAAATCTTTGCTAGTGAAAGATATTATCATCTTAAGCCTCTACAATTTTTATACACATTTTATACATATTTCAGCATTCAGAAAACTACTAACTTTTCTGATCTGCGCTGACCTATGATAGATATAAAGAAGCCTGTCTTAACTAGTAGGCTCAACAGCAATTCATTAACATCCAACATTTTAAACAAGCAGTTTTAATCTATGCTATTTAAAGAAAAATAAAACAGAAGTAACAGTATGACCAAAAAGCACTTTTCTTGGTATGAAAACTTAAAATATGTGCCTGGAACAATAGCATTCTAACTAGATGTTAGTTTACATTGTAAAATACTCCAGTAACATATGAAATAAAATCTGGGAATTACTTATTTTGTAGAAAAAGAAAAATAGTAATTATCCAGTTATAAATCACTCTGAGCTATTAGACTGTATTCTAGGACTCATTTTTTAATATCACATGAATTCACAGGTACTGGTATCATATTTTAGGCATCTACCATGCTGAGAAGACAGATGAGTGCAGATATGGGAAAAACGGATAACACTGAAATGTTACAGTTATGCAAAATGTTAAACCTACATCTCTCCCAGGATTTTAAAATTTGATTTTAATAGCCTTTTATAATGAAAAGAACAACTCAAATGTACAAGACAGTTGAGAAGTTCAACAGGTACAGAACTGCAAAATCACTGAATTCATTTTAATTAGTGTATATATATATATATATATATATATATATAGTTTTATATCTGTGGCATCAGTAAATCATAACTTCCAGATAGCAGATCAGGTCATTTTAATTTATAACCTATCATAATTTGCAACATATGTCTTATTAGTGCCAATGAAATGTAACCTAATTGTGCTCAAAAGTCTCAGGTCACAGAATAACTAAAAGATTCACACACATATAGCTATACTTTTATACAGAAGGCATACAGACATAGCTATGAATAGAAAATTATATGTAGTGATAAAAATTAGACATTTATGCATTCAAATATGTACATATAGCCGGTAAACTGATTTTTTATTTAGCTCAGTTGTATAACCAGCTTGTGAACAGTGACCTTATAACATAGGAATGAACAATATTATCTTGATATTGCCTGAGAAAGACAGAATTACCATTAAAATAAAAGGACTTTTACAGTTATAGACTTTTTAAAAAGTTGACTTTCTAAAAACTTTTTTAAAAGTTTAAACACTCCTCATCACTTTCCTCACTTTTAGAGCTCTTCAATGAGAGATGCCTCTGAACAAGGCTCTAATAATTTGATCAGATAAAGGCTGTGAATGTGGTCAAATAATGAATCATCAGGAGTATACGCTATTTATCATTTTAGATGAATTATAAGTACTCTTTTAACATTAAACTCAATGTTAAAAAAACTTGTAAGTATCATCAGTAACACTTCATTTATATAATTTATTAATTTAAAAACAAGGTTTACTTTCATCTAATCCTCAAAATTATTTTTAAAAACTCTTCACATAGATGAAAACAGTCAATTTTTAAGCAAATTAACGTCATTACATTGGGAACTGGAAAATACTAAAGATAACCCAGCACATTCATGCAATTAATTTTTGTATTTAAATGTTTGATTAAAGGAAAGGAGTCATACGTATAAATCTTTATATCACCGATTCCTTAATAACTAGAAGAATGCTATACCTCAAAACACAAAAATAAAATATTGCTGATAGTGCCACAATACTTTTCTCTATACACCATATTTAATTCCAATGAAAAGATCAGAGTCCTCAGAGAGACATATTGCAAACAAAAACTCCCTAGTAGGTGGTGGGAAGTCAGGCCAGGAGTCAAAGAGAACCCATAGAGATGACAGAGCTGTGATGTCCAGCACAGTCCCCTCAGAGAGAAAAAGGAAAACCACATGGCACTGCTGAAATGCCGAGTTAATTCTTTCTCCTATCTGGGCATTAAATATTACAGCTTTAAAATTGTCTCAATCAGATTATGGCTTCTTTAGACAAGACCCTCTCTTAAGAAACACACATACTCTCAAAGTGCAACGCCGAAACACCATAAAAACTTAAATAACCTACCATTTTCTTTGCATTCTTCTGGAGGTTTAGCCTTTTTCGCAAGTCGTGGATCCAGCCATGATGTTGTCTTTGTGTTATGGCTGAAAAGAAAAGAGATCACTCTGAACAGACACATACTGAAAGGAATCAAGTTTATTCCTTAAGGAAAAAAAAAAAAAGAGGGGATTAGACCAACAAAATTGCAATCGATACACTTAATTTGCTTACTGGTTCTAAGTAGCCCTGAAGGAGGTGTAAGAGTAATCGTGCAAAGGCAGCTGTAAAATTGGCAATCTCAGCTCCCTGTCCTCAAAGCAGCTATTTTTATTAAAATCAACTAGAATGTTGCCAAGTTAACCTCATTGAAAATGCAGAACTCATCCAGAGCAAAAGGAATTTATTACAAATACAGGATTCTCCAGTTGGAAGCGCACAGTTCGCAGGCTCTGATACTGTTTCCTGAGTTTTGCAAAAGAATTATTTTCATCTTAAACCTGCCCTTTCATAAATGGTTGTTTTGTTACTCTTTAACTACAGAGCTGGTAGAGGCAGTACAAAAGTGATGCAAATTATAGCATGTTCTTGGGATTCCTACATTTTCTCAAAAAGTAATTAACAGCAATTTCATTAACCCACATTTAGCTATCTTCCATCTAAATACTTTCAATCCAGTTAGGAAGATAGATAAAGCTGTCTGTACTCTAGCATTTTTGGAATGGAATTCTGGGAATTAATAATTTTTAATGACAATTTCATTTTAAAAAATGTTTTCTGGGAAGTCTTTTACCAGAAATTTAAAAAGCAAAGGAGAAAGGTTATTAGAGCACTGTTTTGAAAAGAGGTCCTGGAATTACCTGCATTGGAATCACCTGGTGGACTTATTAACAATGCATATTCTGGGAGTTTGGTAGTTCTCATAGAACTACCAAATCAGAATCTTTGAGGTGGAGCCGCAAAATCTCCATCTTTGGCTAGCACTCCAGGTGATTCTTATGCACACTGTAATTTGTTACTTGAGAACTACTCGAAACCATACATTGGAGCTAAAATCTTTACTGTGAATAGCTGTCTCAAGTTATCTCATCTATCAATGGACAAATTATCAAGGATGTGACATCTGTGAGGGCTTCAGAAATGAGCAGAGTCACAGGTGTAGAAAAGTGACGTTTATATAGGGAAGAGTCAGAATGCAATGTGAAAGGAAAAAGTGGGAAAAAAGGTTAGAAATATAAACTAAAGCCAGATAATAGAGATCTTTGAACACAGTTGTAAGGAAGTCAAAATTATAATATCAATTCACATGTATTTTCTCTTTCTTCAGTGAAATTTAACTATATTTTATCGTATCAGAGCTACAAGTGTTAGCTAAATAATCTGATGAACCAATCTGCACTTAAAGCAAAGTTCAGAAAATTCTCCCAGGAAGCGTATTTCATAGCAAGCTTCCAGAGTTTAAGTGCCTACTTAATGAAGGGAATTTCAAGGCAGAAAGGAGGAAGGATGGAGTTAAGGTGGGCAGTGGGCAAATGATTCCAGAGTGTTAAAGCTCTCTTTAAATAGTGCTTTCTGGATGATAGTACATCTGCCTAAGTGTAGAGCCATCTCTGATCTGAGAGCTGAAACATTAATATCCTTGGGTCATGAAGTTTCTGCTCTTAAAGAAGATTCCCTTTTATTTCTTACTTTCATGTGGGGTAAACAGAAAATACTTTCCAATCATTTTCTTCACACTTAGGAACTCCTCAATGATTGATCCCTCTGAGCAGGGCTCTAATAATCTGATGAGATGAAGTCTATGAAGTTGGTGAAATTATAAATTGTCAGGAGAGCATGCTAGCTTTTATTTTCCTCCAATGTGACTTTTGTATAGTGTGATAGCGCTTCATTATCGACTATCAGAAGGATGTAAAGTACTGCAGTATCTCATTCTGGTCCTCATTTACAGTCATGTCAATATCATCTAGTCTTTTCCCCTCAAATAAAGACTTGATGCCCATGGACAGAAAGGGGGTTATGACTATCCTGTTGTGAGGATAGTTGCACTGGGTTCAGTGCTTGCTGCTCCCATTTGAAAAATAAAGTCACTGTGAAGATGCTCTTTATAGACATGCCTCAGTTCAAAGTGTGTGTGTGTTGTGTGTGTGTGTGTGTGTATGAGAGTGTGTTGATGTCTATGTTTTTATATACTAGCAACAAATTTGGGAGGTGACTAAGGAAAATAAACTTCCCTTCTTTTTACCCACATCTGCTTCTTCCAAATTCTTCCCCCCTTTTTGGAGGAAAGTCATTTCTAGGTCTCTAAGACATATTCACAAAAGCACACACACCTATGGATAAGTATGAAGGGGCCATTACTAAGCCACTGCAGGGAGTCAAATTACCATTTCTATACCACACCACCATGGGTCTCAAATACCGGCTAATTTAGTAGAGAAGCATGAATTTCCTAGCTTTCCTGAGTTTCTATAAAGCATTTCATTACAGGATGATTGTTTTTTAGGTTGAGCTAGCATTAACGGTATGTCACTTTAATAGACTTTGACAGCTTGAGTCTCTTAGAGTTAACAGCATTTTTAGCTGATCTTCTGAAATGATGCTGAAGGAAAGTGGGTAGTAGTTACCTCCAGCAATTGTCGCAAACATCACATGAAGATACCGCACAGTATTTTTCAACAGTGGTTCTCACAAGCCTTGTAATTTGCATGCTTCTTCAAGATGCCTTAGAAAGGGAATATTTTTAATGCATTTAGGAGACAATGGACCAAGTGGCTTTTCCACTTCCCTTAAACTATATATTTTTAAACCTCAACAATTCCATTTGAAAATAGGATTCAACATTGGGCAGGAGACTGTGTAAAACGGGACAGTTGAAGGATTTTTCACAATCTGCATACTATCCTTCCTCAAGTTTGAGGATGTGATTTCCTTTCACTTTCATTGCTAGAGTAGATTCAGACGCAGAATACCAGTTTTCTGCTTTTCTCCAAATCGTGGGGAGCACAAATGACAGGAAGGTAAGATGCTAATATTGTATAATCTTGTATTTCAATACTAGTTTCTTTAACAGGGACACATACACATATAGAGGCTACGTTTGCAAAGAAACTTCTAGCTGAGGAATGGAACACACATTTTCAAGGAACTTTGAATCATAATAATATACTACTCTATGTATTTCTATGGATAACGTTAAAGTGAGGGTTATGAAAAGTGAGAGATTAAGTGGAGTCAGTGGCTATTCAAGTTGTATAACTGTCCTATTTAAAAATCCAGATGAAAACCTTAAAACATGGTCTATCCAAAAGTCTTCTCTGATTTTAAACTAAGTCTGTCTGGTGGACTGGAGCAAACCAGAAGTGAAATTTCATTCAACTTTGCAATTCTAGTTTAAATTCATATCAGAATGGCCTTGATGACGTGATAGGCTAACTTGCAATGATTAGAAATTTCTGGATATTTTGTAAGTTTAACCTTTGCCAAATTGACAAAAGCAGCACATTAAATAATATCTTATTTTTTGAGGAAACATTCTTCTCATACAGAAAATGCTTCCCTTCAACAGGAAAAGCTGCTGACATTATGCCACACCATTGAAAAGTTATTCTTACTATCTTGTAACATTTCCTGATTGTCTACTTTGTCAGGGACTGTTCTAGAACTTTCACAGCTCACTTCATTTGATGCTAATGAGTCTCTGTGGCTCGTATTTTTAACTCCATTTTACAGATAGAGAAAGGAAGGTTGAGAGAAGATAGGTAATTTGTCCAAGGTTACACACCTAGTGCATGAAAGTGAAGGAGCTAGCATTAAACAGACATATCTGATTCCCAAGGCCAAAGTTTTCTTTATGATCTGAAACCAGAGGCATACTAAACTTAAAACTTTGCTTTTGATACGGAGGTGCTTTATTTGACTCCCTTGGGGGGTAATCAGAGATCTTTTTCCCACCTCCATAGCCAGTGGTTTACAAACTGAGACCTTTATCTCCTATGTGAGAATAGTAATCACTGATTAAATGACTGTGTTGAATGCCTGGTACTTAGTAGGTATTATATTAAATTGCACATGCATAGAGATGATATAATCACTGGAAACATTTTCTCCTTACAAACCTGAATATCCAAATCACTTTAAAATCAAATTTGAGTATTTTTCCAGAATAAAGTCTTAAAATGGTGATTTATATAATCTACATATGAATATTAGGTCTTAGAGGTTATAACGAATTAGGTTAATAAAAATGCTATCAAATGAGTAGAGTGTTTACTAGGAGCAAAACAAAATTGTCATATAGATCGTGCCACAGTCTATCCTCCATTCTACTTTTTCATCTACTCTATGTTTGTCCAGTTGGGGCTCAAACTCCATAATGGTTTCCTAGGTATATATACGGCTCGATTTAAACCCAATTTTAAGACAAATCCTCTTTTCCTTTCTCTCTCTCTCTTTTTTTTTTTTTTTTTTTTTGTGGTATGCGGGCCTCTCACTGTTGTGGCCTTTCCCGTTGCGGAGCACAGGCTCCGGATGCACAGGCTCAGTGGCCATGGCTCACGGGCCCAGCCGGTCCGCGGCATGTGGGATCTTCCTGGACCGGGGCACGAACCCCGTGTGCCCTGCATCGGCAGGCAGACTCTCAACCACTGCGCCACCAGGGAAGCCCCTCCTTTCTCTTTTCATTGTTTCCTTTTCCTCTCTCCTTCCTACCTTTGTCTTGACACCAAGATCAAAATAATGTTTTCACTACTGCACAAATACTGGATGACATTTCATCACCTGAAATCTGATTAGTAGAATGAGAAACTTTTATTATCAAATACACTCCTTTCCTTAGCTCCATTTTCTCTAAAAAACAGTAACAGACTTAAAACAATGACAAACACATTGAATTTAAAAAGTTCTCCGAAAAAGCCAATTCTGAATCTCAGTCTTTACCTGATACACTATATTTTCATCCTGGGAGATACTAACTCAGAAGAATAATAAGAGATTGAACTCAATAATATCTGATGGCATGAAACATAATAACCTTTTGAACAAGGTAAACAAGGCCCAGGTAAATATTTTAGAGTCCTCTGAGCAATTCAAGATGTATGTGGATGTT